CCCCCATCCCTGATTCTTTTCCCCTCTACTTACTTTTTCTTATAAGAATCTTGTCCTCTCATTTAAACCATTTCTCGTTCTCTGGTATCTATACATTTTAGGCCCAACAGAGGTTTTACTTATTTTTTCTTATTTTTTCTTCATTCCTCTTCTTTTTTAGGATAGTTTTTTAAATCCTTCTATTTTTTTCTTTTCTGGAACTTCTTTTTTAGATCACTATTGTTTTTTTGTTCTTTTTTATTATTTACTTTACTTCTTTTTATTTTTTTATTTTTTTTTGTTTTTTATTTATTATTTTTTTTTTTCATTTCCTTTTTATCCTCTTATTGTTGGGCTTTTGAAGTCTGTTCTTCTCAGTAGAGGTAATTGTCAGGTTTTCCGTTTCCGGATTTCCTGAGTTTATCTTCTCATGTGTAACAATATTTATAAAACAGGATTACCAAATCAAATTTTGCTTTCTTATTGTTTAAGGTGTTATTTAATTATTTGTATGGCAATATTGAAATAGAAGAAATGCATTGATATTAAAAATGGACCCTTCACCCCGGACTAACCAGAGTTAGAGGCATTCGGTTTCTTCTATTTGAAATCATACGCGTTTTGGTTTATATTTTAACAATCTTTAACCCTATTCCTGCTGTAGTTTTTTTTACATAACTCAAAAAGAATTGGTCTGAGGCTGTTGAAATTTTCTGACTTTTCCTTCATACCCAAAGCCCTCCTTTTAGGCCTAAAACCGGGCTTTAATACTAACTGCCTGAGTCCTCAGGCACACCGCCTTAATGACTGTTTTTTCCTGTAACAAACTAAATCTTTGTTTTGACCCACTTCCACTTGTCAGATTTTGATAAAATTTAGCTTTTTGGAAAGCCTTTGACATAAGAAAACGAATGCACAAGGTTTACGAAAAAAATTGCAAATATTTTGCAAACAACCTGTCAAAGGAAATTTGCACATTTTTAGTTTTTCTTGATTAAAAATCAGGTTGTTTAAAAATTTGCAAAATGTCTTGCATATTTGAAATGGCATGGTCAAGGGCTTTTCAAAAATGTATAATTTTTTATTTTTTGAACAAATTAATTTTTGCAAAAATTTTTACTATATAACTGGATTTTGCGTTAAAAAATTCAATTTTTGCAAATTTGCAAATTTTTTTGCAGATTCTAAAAGTATAGCACAAGACCTTTCCAATTATGTATCATTTGTTATATTTGGACATCAAACATGGGATTTAGAGGGGGGGGGGTCAAATTGACCCCCCCAGCATATCCTGGTTTTCAAGTACCCCAGCAGAGATAGGGTTAAAGTTACGGATTTGTATGTTAAATACTTTTTATTCAAAGCGTATATGCCGGCAAAAAAGTATTTAAGAAAGAAGGCTAAAAAATTATGTTTAATAGGAGAAATTGTGATCGAAAGTCATAGCTTTCTGGAATATTGACAGAACCATTACATGCACGTGCCTTTTCCGTTTTTAATATTAAATATTTCAGTTCACAAGAAGAGTGCGAGAGTATAAACATGGCGGAAGTGGATAAAAGTGATCAGAACAAACATGTTAAAGATAAACGTCTAGAAATGGAAGAAAATTCAAATAAGATGAAAAAGAGACATATACAATGCTCTGGATACTTTCAGGTTACAGAATTAAACAAAGGGACTGTTCTCATAGTTTCAAGTGATTCTCTATTTACAGAAGAGTGCAATTTGCATCCAAGAGCATTTAAACCCTCATCTGAGATATCCTATTTTTTTTCTTTATAGGGCATCATTGAAAATACACCAGCAGTCCCTTTAATAGACATTCAGTACAAAAACTTTTTTTTTCTCTTGTATAATTAAAAAAAAATCTTTTCAGACTTCCGACATTCCGGAATTAAAGAGTTTGATTGGACTTTGCCAGTATTGCAAATCTGAGGTAAACATATTTGTTCCTATTACAAATAGTTTCAATTTGAGAATATTAGTGTTTTTAAATTTTTTTTGCTAATTTAAAATAAAAAAATCTGTGTTATGTGTAATTTGCTTTTAACACCTCTCTGTATTCATTCGGGATTCTTTTGAATATTGTACTTAAAACAATCGCTTTTTAGAGTTTTAACTCAACTAATTTTTATTTTTAACCTTATCTTAAAAATAAATATATTTTTGTAAAGGATCGAAAATAACTGTTTATTTTACTTTTCTTTATAGTATCTTAAAACAAGGATGCTGGAGAAGGAAGTTTCTGGATAGGTCTTCTTAGGGTCACTATTTAATCTGGTGTGTCGCTATATATTCCTTCTGTTTAATCTATGATCGCTCTTTATCTATATTTAGATACTTGGCAAGGTTCATTGTTAGGAACATTACATAACAAATTATTAATAAATTTACAGATATAAATATGTTTAAAAACCACAGGTTATGAATAATAAACAAACATCTCAATACATTTCATATTAACATTCTTTTAACCCTGTTCATCCTGATCCCCCTCCTCTGGTCCCTATCATAGCAGGGTTAAAATATCTAATTTTCTCAACTCTGTTGCAAAATATATATTTTTTTTAAAATTTGTATTTCAGGGCAAGAGTAGAACGAGTGAAAATTTTTTCCGAATAGAGGTACTAAAAGGTAAACTTCACTTCTGTCTTTTTTTGTTGATTGATCATAAATTTAAATTTTTTTTATTGGTAGATTTTGAGGCTGACCTGAAGAAATCGCTGCTTGACAAAGAAAAAGACCGAAGCGATCATTCTGAACCTGACATGAAGATGGAGATAGTAGACGTCAAGAAGCATAAGAAAGAGATAAAGAAACGAAAAAGATCCATTTCAAGGGTTTTTGGTAAAAAAAGACTTGTTATCACCCCATCCGAACAACAAAATATTGAATCGATTCAAAAAGCAACAAGTTTTAATAAAACAACAAGTTTTGAATCCCAAAAAGAAGGTACAGAAAATACTAATGACGAATCAGAAAATCTTGATTTGTTGCTAGAACTGAAAGTTCATGAAATTGAGCCCGAAACAGAAAATACAAATAAATGCCATGAACCACAAATTCAAAACACTACCCCTGCTGTGGACCAATCCCAAGAAACTTGGAATAAGATAATTTCTGAGAAAGTGGATAACAATATGAAAGGATTACTAACTGAACCTAATGATGAAGTTATGAACTATGGCACCATTTCAAATTCTCCAACGTATCCTCAACTCTATAATGAACACCGCACATCTGCAATCACTGTCCAAATTGTAAAAAATGTAGAAGGAATCAAGGAACAATCTGAACTATTAGAAGTTAAACAATCTGATCAGTGTCAGTACAGCAATTTTAAAGAGAAATATCAAGTTGAAGAGAAACAATCTGCTCAGTGTCAGTACAGCAATTTTAAAGAGAAATATCAAGTTGAAGAGAAACAATCTGCTCAGTGTCAGTACAGCAATTTTAAAGAGAAATATCAAGTTGAAGAGAAACAATCTGCTCAGTGTCAGTACAGCAATTTTAAAGAGAAATATCAAGTTGAAGAGAAACAATCTGATCAGTGTCAGTACAGCAATTTTAAAGAGAAATCTCAAGTTGAAGTTAAACAATCTGATCAGTGTCAGTACAGCAATTTTAAAGAGAAATCTCAAGTTGAAGAGAAACAATCAGTGATAAAGAGCAACCCCTACAAGTTCAGCCAAGAAACTCATCAACACTATAAAGTCCGATTGAATGAAGGAAACCAAGACGAAAAGGGGATTCTGATAGAAGAGGAGATACAGAATGATGATGATAATGAGGAAAAGGAGATTCTGAAAGAAGAGCAGATACAGAATGATGATGATGATGATGAAAAGGATGAAGATAATCTCCAGCTGATCAATGAAAATCTGAAGATTGATATTCCCCAAGATGAAGCTGATATAAATGTTCAATCAGGTTGGATTTTGACAACTTTTGAAATGACTGAATTAATTTTAAATTAAGCCGTTTATTCAATTATCTTTTACTAATTTGAAATATAAAATTAACGCTTTTTTTCTGACTCGAAATGTTTTATTTCTGTGAATTTCTCCATTTTTTCTTTAAAGCAAGAAATTCATAAGTCACTTTTGCAGTGAAACTTCAAATGAAAATAAACAGTGTACGAATTTAATGAATTTAAGCCGCGTCTCAAATCATCCAGAAACCGGTTTCAATTGAGCGCAGGCTTAAATCTTAAAAAATTGAATACTATTTTAAGTGGAACCAACCATATTTGAGCCGCGGCTCAAATTCTTTAATTTCGGCCTCAGTTTAGATAAACAAAAACATGCACACTTTATTTTTCGGCCTCGGTTTAGATAAACAAAAACATGCACATATTATCTAATTCATACTTGATCACTATCAGACAAAGCTATTAAGGGTTATACTGTTGTAAATAAGGCACTTATATTGAGCGTACAGCTGCTAAAATTAAATATTCTCTAGTTCTTATAGAGTTTTATTTTAGACTGTGAGGACATGAGAATTATACCAGGAGGGGAGGTTCAAGTAAGAACATTTTTAGTTAATTTGCATATTTTTTCTTATCCGAATTTTCTTTAGAGACTAAAGGATACACATTACACAACCCTTCTACCTCAAAAATCATGCAAAATGAAATGCTAATCCAACCTAAAACAGTCTATATATCACGAAACTTGTTCAAGAGTATTATAGTATACTCGCTTGGGAACCCGGTCGTTTTTAAAATCGATTGTTTTTCAAAACGATCGTTTTTATAAACATTAACGACGAAACTTCGTCAATGATCGTTAATGACGACCCTTCGTTAACGATCGTTAACGAAGAAAGAAAACCGATCTGAAGGGCACCTGTACTTATCATTGAGTATTTTTTTAGAAAATATCAAGAAGTTTTAGCTCCCCCACAACTGTTTAACTTCATGTAAGACAACATTCGATAAAGTTGCATGTATATTTTTTCAAAATCGATCGTTTTTTCAAAAACTGCCGTTTTTATAAAGTTCGTCGTTTCGTTAACGATCGTTAACGACAACTCTTCGTAAACGATCGTTAACAAAATTGTCAATAAAATTTTTTTTCAAAAACGATCGTTAAAAAACAATTGTATAAAAAACGGTCGCAAATCGTTTTTATGAAAACGATCGTTATCAAAAACGATCTTTATTCGTTTTCTAAAAGTTCAAAAACGATTAACAACCCCATTTGCAGTAGTAGTATTTATTGTTTTGTATTTTTAAAGGCTGCACACTCTGCATATTGAACATATTTTTGTCTACAGTCAAACCAATTGAACTCACTGAAACATCTTATCATGAATTGTACAGACTGAAACATATTATCATGAATTGTACAGACTGAAACACCACTGAAGAGAAAAAGAGGAAGACCAAGGAAAATCGTTGCAGAAGAAATCCTAAAAAATAGGAAGAAACTAAGGTAGATGAATGAAATATCTTATTTTATGCATCTTTATTGCAATTTTGATATTTTCAGTGAATCTACAAAAAAGAAGATTTCTGAGAATAACAAGAAGTTTAGCATTTGTAAACTTTGTGGAAGCCATTGCAAAGGATTTAGAGGTCAACCTTATTATATTTTTTATCATTTTTTGGTAAAATTCAAGCAGTTGAATAGAGCCCATATTTTCATATTTATATTTCACTATGATAGATTACAATCAATCAATCACAGTCGTTTTGCCTTACCAGGGTAGGGTGTTTTTAATGGTTGGTCCTAATCCAATATTATGTTCCAGGATTCTCATGCAGGTTAAATCATGCAATTCTGTTCTAATCAAATATGAAATTGATTCAACACAATAAGGATTGAAATATCTGTACTAACAAAGGAATTGCCACACACTCAAATTGTCTAATGTCGATATCTTTCAATCCTGGTGATGTAAATCTTTAAAATTTCATACTTAGATTTTTTGATCTAACAAAATTCATGGTCAAATATCTAAGGTCTACATCATTGGTTGCAAAGATATAGGAATTAGAAAATTAGAATTTGTGGCAAACTATTGTTGTAAAAATGTACTCTATAACAAGTTCTCGAAACACATCTATCCAGGTACAATCCGTTCGATATCAAGACTGAATCCCAGGCTCTAAATGCCACACAGGGACACAAGCGTAGCTATAAAAATCCTGCCACTAATACAGTGTTCAACCAAGACTGAATCCCAGGCTCTAAATGCCACACAGCGACACTCACACAAGCGTAGCTATCAAACAAGCTATATATAAAGATCCCAAAATTAATGATAGGGATGATCCGATGTTCTAAATGTCCCACAGGGACACAATCTACACGGCTACAGTCCCGTGAACTATAAACGCCATGCTACACGGGGCGCGATCTCGTTAGCTATTAGTGTCAATAGTCACTCAATACAGACACTAGCAATCAATTGACCAGTGTTAACTAGGACACAATCCACAAAGCTACAATCCCATGACTAACCAACGCCACTACACAGGGCGTGATCTCGTCAGCTATCGACGTCAATACAGACACTAGCAATCAATTGATCAATGTCTCAAACAGGACACGATCCACACGGCTACAATCCTGTGACTAATCAACGCCACTACACAGGGCACGATCTAAATACAGACACTAGCAAACAATTGACCAGTGTTAACTAGGACACGATCCACACAGCTACAATCCCATGACTAATCGATGTCACTACACAGAGACCCGTTCCACCTGATAGATATATTTTTTATTTCTTTTAGTAAATCATTCTCTCTACAACATAAAGTCAAAAAACGTATATTCACTTTAGAACGGAACTGAGTTGTTGTCAAATATTCTAAGCCCTTTATCTTTCCAACCTGATGGTTTAAATCTTTGATATTTCAATATTAAAGTTCTACAACATCGGGTTGCAAAGATAGTGATTAAAATTAGATTTTGTGGCATAAACTCATTTCATTTCATTTAAACTTGAAATGAAAAACCATTTGTCTTTGCTGTCATATTCATCAATCATCTCTTACATTAATAGATTAGAGACGTTTTGAAACGGTTTGATTGGCAGAATTATTGTTACACTTTTAAAAATATAACTCAGCCCTCATAGCCTTCAGTTATACAACGTTACACTTTTTATAACTTGAACTTTCAAATAGAAATCCTTTCGATATGATATTCAATCAAATCACAATTTATTTTTCAAATGTTAGACTTTCAAGCTCCCCTTTAAAATAAATTTTTTTTTTTTGCTTTATGGTCAAACATGTTGTAGATATTAGAAAAAAATAATACATTACAACAAAAGGCTAATGTTAGGGGTATATATACCTCTATCGTTAATGTTTAATGTTAAAGTTAGGTATAAGCTCCTGTAACGTTAACGTTCAACATTCATGTTATGTAAAATATATCCAAACGTTTCATATTATTGTAACGTACATTTAACGTTATGATACGATATCCATCTCTACAATACAGACTAATCAACACCACTATACAGGGCCCGATCTCGTTAGCTATCGATGTCAATACAGACACTAGCATTTAATAAATCAATACCAATACTCAAGGTATGATCTCCACTCGTATGTTTCAACGAAAACCAAATTACTTCTAATACCATAATAGGAGCAGAGTTTCAATCAACTAATTTTATTTAATACCTTATGTCACAAAGTTAACAGGAATTGACATAGTTACAATTCCTATGATGTTATCATTAACACATAGTTACATATTTATCAAACAGTTAAAGTTAATATACATATTTATAGGATTAGAGAGAATAGATATAACGCAGTTAAGCTATCTCCGCACATGTTTTATAGCGTAGTTTAAGTATGTCGCATGATTTAAGCTAATCATGTTAAGTATTAAATTGAAACGTAGTTCGAATGAATAATGTCATTATGCCTAAGTTTAAAGAGTCACGGAAGTTCGTAGTAAGATTTTGACTCCACTGGAGACCACCGGAGGGAATTCTTTTTCACTGGAGGTGTTTGTAAAAAGGCTTTTTACATTTCAAAATTTTACGCAGGGTGATTTACATTCCACTGGAGGGATTCAGATATCTTTCCTAGGGGTTTATAATTCCACTGGAGGGATTCAGATATCATTTCTGGGGGTTTATAATTCCACTGGAGGGATTCAGATATCTTTCCTAGGGGTTTATAATTCCACTGGAGGAATTCAGATATCCTTCCTGGGGGTTTATAACTCCACTGGAGGGATTCAGATATCTTCCTAGGGGTTCATAATTCCACTGGAGGGATTCAGATATCCTTCCTTCCATAACTTTTTAATTCCACTGGAGGGATTAAGAAATCCTTCCTGGTGGTTTTTAATTCCAATGGAGAGATTCAGAAATACTTCCATGAGGTTTGTAGTTCCACTGGAGGAATTCAGATATCCATCCTAACCTAACTGAATCCCTCCAGTGGAATTATAACCCCCCGGGAAGGATATCTGAATCCCTCCAGTGGAATTATAAACCCCTTGGAAGGATAACTGAATCCCTCCAGTGGAATTATAAACCATTTGGAAGGATAACTGAATCCCTCCAGTGGAATTATACACCCCTTGGAAGGATAACTGAATCCCTCCAGTGGAGTTATAAACCCCTATGAAGGATAACTGAATCCCTCCAGTGGAATTATAAACCAATTGGAAGGACATCTGAATCCCTCCAGTGGAATTATAAACCCCTTGGAAGGATATCTGAATCCCTCCAGTGGAATTATAAACCCCTTGGAAAGATAACTGAATCCCTCCAGTGGAGTTATACACCCCTATGAAGGATAACTGAATCCCTCCAGTGGAATTATAAACCCATTGGAAGGACATCTGAATCCCTCCAGTGGAATTATAAACCCCCAGGAAGGATATCTGAATCCCTCCAGTGGAGTTATAAACCCCTTGGAAGGATAACTGAATCCCTCCAGTGGAATTATAAACCCATTGGAAGGATAACTGAATCCCTCCAGTGGAGTTTATAAACCCCCAGGAAGGATATCTGAATCCCTCCAGTGGAATTATAAACCCCTGGGAAGGATAACTGAATACCTCCAGTGGAATTATAAACCCCCAGGAACGATATCTGAATCCCTCCAGTGGAATTATAAACCCCTTGGAAGGATAACTGAATCCCTCCAGTGGATTAATAATAGAGTGTATACGATAAATCTAGTACTTTTCCTACAAAGGAATTGAGTTTTTGCAACAAATTCTGATTTTCTAATCATTATATCTATCTAGTGGAGTTATACACCCCTATGAAGGATAACTGAATCCCTCCAGTGGAATTATAAACCCCTAAGAGGATATCTGAATCCCTCCAGTGGAATGTAAAACACCCTGCGTAAAGTTTTAAATTGTAAAAATCATTTTTTGAAACCCCTCCAGTGAAAATAAAATCCCTCCGGTGGTCTCCAGTAGAATCGAAATCTTACTACGAACTTCTTTGAGTCAAGTTTAAAACATTAAATCATTAATATGTACAACGTACTGCAGTTTTACAGAATATCATATTTCCACGATTTTTGACAGCTACATTATAATATCAAAATTAATATTTTGTACAGGTCTTGTGGATCACATGTACAGAGATCACCCGACCCATAAACCATGGTCATGTACATACTGTCCTGTACAGACTCCTTTTGTGAAAACACTGTATAGGAATTGTACTCTTTGAAAGTTGGGAAATTTTGGTTACTTTTGCATTTTTTTGAAGTAAATTTTCAAAGTTAAAACATGGAATATTATATGAATTTGACATGGAACTTGATTTTTTTTTACAGTACCTCTAAGTGAACTCTTTTGTTCTAATTTTTTATTGTTAAGAGTATAATTTTAGACATTTGAAAGTTGTTCATCAGGTGAGACAAAAACGAAACTTTTTATAAACATTTTTTTATGTTAAATACAATTTATTTATTTATATATATATACATTATATTATGTTCAAAATATTTTCAAACGGAGTTTTGTTCCTTAAAATTATAAATAATCAAAGTGAGAAATTTTAATATACAAAAATATTTTGTTCTGTTTTCTGAATATTTTCATATCTTTCAGGTTAATGAAAGCTTTTGTTCGATCTGTGGGAAAAAATACAGCAGGAAAGCAAGTTGCACACGGATAATAATAAATTTTTTATAGTTCGCATTCGAATTTAATAAGCAAAAATAGAATAGAAGTTCTACAATCTTTATATTTAAATATTATTTTTTAATATAAATATTGTTTAAACTTAAAGATTAATGTGTACTTGCTTATTAGGGCTCAGTCAATGCTAGGGATCAATCCAAATCTATTTAAAAATTTCTTTTTATAAAAAGAGAATTAAAACATTTCACAATTAGTACAGATGTTATTAAAGGTTTGTTTATCTATAAGAAGAAAAACAACAAATTATCTGTTCAATATTTTATTTAAAAAAAAAACAAATTGTTTCATGCATCTCTAGATACAATCTTTAGTTTGATAAATGATTTCATTTTGCATAAATATTTATATATTGGTTTACACAAAAAAAAGTGTACTTCAATTTCTAACTTGAGGAATGTAGTCTTTCACATAAACTCAAATTTTCTAATCCCAATACCTTTGCAACCTGATGGTGTAAACCTTTAATGATATTTCAAACTTAGATTATTCTATTTAAAGAATTCATAGATTTTGTTTTTCCAATATATATACAAACATCTCGATTTATTGCAAAAACAGAACACACAAAAATGATGTAAGTATTTCTAGAAATATTTTCCACTATTATTGGCACGGAAAAGATTTGAATAATAATCTTGTATCAGCTCACATGAATAGACATACTTCTCTTCCTGATGATTTCAGCTGTGCAATATGCCATGATATCTTCAATACTAAAGGAACAGTAAAAAAACTTAAAAATAAAAATACTATTTAGTGTCTTTATAAATCGAAGGGACTGTTCAGTGTTTATCTATTTTACCGTCTTCTGAGTTTGTAGATATAAAAACGTATTTTTTAATCCTAGTAATCAGAAACTTTAAAAACGATTGACTATTTTATTTTAATAAAAAAGAAAAGAATTTGTTATTTTGGGCATAACAGCAAAGGTTATTTTGAAAGAAATTAATGATTGATAAAGTTTAAACAAGTTATGTTTTGCAAATAGTTTTTTGTTAAATACTATATTTTTTATTGAATTAGAAAAACTTGAAATTCACGTGGGCAAGCAGCACAATGATGGATTTAAGTGTAATCATTGTGAAAAATCATTTTGTGAAATGAGTACATTGAGAGAACATAGAAAAATCCACACAAGGGACACTTTTTTTTACATGCAAAAAACTGAAACGACCGGAAATTGTTTATTTGTCAAAATTTTCTTTCGTTTTAAGATATGTTTTTTTAAATTTAAAGTCTGATAATAATGCTCTTAAATCATTTAAATATATCTTAAAAGTATTTTCTCAAATGGTAACTTTTCAGTTTCCTGGTTTGAGGGGTTCCGGATCCGCAAAATTTTTTTAATTGGTTCTTTAAGTCTACAGCATGAAAATACGAGAGAAAACTTTTTTTTTTAAAATTTTTTGTTCGTAACAAGAAATGATCAAATCAAGAAATTTTCAGGACCTGCAAACGTCTTTTTGTTTAGCTAGCCTAGGAGCCACAAAAAGAACGTAAAAAACGTGTCTTTAAAACCTTTCATAAAAAATGTGCTTATATAAGTAGAGAACGACCTTTCCAGTGCAACCAGTGTGGAACAACATTCACCTTTATTTCAACCTTTAACTCACATATGAAGATGCATCTCAGGTAGCGTTCACAGATTTTGAAGTTTTTTTAATGAAAATTCATTATTTTGTTGCCAAAACATATTTAATAGCAGTGTTTTTTTTAGTTTATTTTCCTGTTTTATTTGATTACTTTTTAATAATAGAGTGTATACGATAAATCTAGTACTTTTCCTACAAAGGAATTGAGTTTTTGCAACAAATTCTGATTTTCTAATCATTATATCTATCTTTTTATCCCTATGTTGTAGACCTTTAATATTTCAAACTATGAATTCTGTTAGATCAAATAATCAATGTTTGAAATATTAAAGGTTTAAATCATCCGGTTACAGAAATATAGAGATTAGAAAATTTGAGTTTGTGACAAAAACTCAATTTCTTTGCTACATTGAACGATCTTTCTTAATTAAAATTAGTTTCACCTGAAAATTTTGATATTTGACATGCAAAAATGTGTATTTTGAGCTAACCTAACACAAACAAATTTTTAGTTTTTGTTTACATTAAAGGTTTGAATAGCAACACAACTATATAGCAATAATTAAGTTTGATATATGTTTACAAAGCAAATAGTTTTATTAAAGTAAGTTATTGAATCACTTATCAAGTAAAAAAAGACACTGTACAGTGTACACTGTACACTGCACAGTGTACAACTGCTGTTTAAAGTCATAACTTAGCCTAAAAGTGTTTACTTTCTATTCCAAAGTTTTCTGGCTTTTACTGCATGTAAATAGATATATAAGCTCGAACTTATATCTGTAAAAACGGATGGAAAAAATTTGTTGAGATGTTTTGAGTGAGCCAATGGGTACCCCGGAGTGACATGCACTTTAACATTGTAAAATTTTTTTAATTTCACAGGAAGATATGATATATCGCCTTTAATACATAATATATAATTAACATACGGTCAAAAACAGTAAGCCATTTATATATACAAACAGACACCCAGACATGTTTTTCTGTTTGTAATTGTATCCAATAAACATTAAAACGCCTGAACCGATCGGGCCCAAATTTTGTGCGGGACCTCACATGACCCCAGGGAATGATTATGAATAAACAAAATTTCAAAAATTAGTCTCCAACAAAATTTGATTTTCATTAAATTTCAAAAATCCATGAAATTTTTTTTAAATCCGCGAATTTTTTGTTTGTTTTTGTTTTACAATGTTATACAAAGAGACAATTTTCACAGTTGAAATAGAAGATGAGCACAAAGCTTCCTGAAAGTCAAGTAAAAAATGTCTAAACACCCGAATTAACTTCAAAATCATTATTTTCAAAAGAAATCCGGAAATTACCAACAATTGTAATTAATATATTATATAGGAAGGAAGGTTTGACAGAGGATGAATCTAGTATGCCCCTCTACTATCCCTGTGATATATGTGATAAATCATACGTGAATGCTGCTGGATTAAAACTACACAAGCGACATGTTCATGACAAATTTTCAGAAAATTTTCCCTGTGATGTTTGCGGTAAATCATTCAGGTGAAGTGAACAAGATTATTTTTAAAAATTGACTATTGTTCATATTTCAATTAACCCTCCATGTTAAGCGGGGCATACCCTACTTTAACTATACAAAGGTGTCCTTTAAAGGGAGTGACCGGCTATGTAAGGTAGTTAAACTGAGTATGCAGTGTTGTGGAAAACTTCTTTCGGATTTATTTGAGACATATTAAACTTTTTAAAGATCTGTAAATCCTGAGTTTGAGCGCAAATTCGACGTTCAAAACTTCTACTTTGGGATTGGATACGTTTTCAGAATTAGTTTTTCTTAACTATTAAATAACGACAAAGAAAAATAAAGTAAAAATTATACATTAATCTAATTAGATGGTTAGGAACATATTTCTCAAAAGAAATTTGTCAATAAATCAATGCTAGAATCAATTATTTCGTTTTAATCATTATATTGAATTTCTTTTCTTTTTCAAATGTCGTCTTTTCAATAATAAGTTCAGAAAATCTGCGAACATCTTTGTGAATAATGAGAACTAGAATAATAAGAAAATAGCAACTAATAATTGAACAAGATTACTTATTTTCGATGATAAGATTAATTTTTATTTTCTCAACATATGTCTATAGTTTATTGTAGAACTTTTTTAAAATTTTATGTCGTCGTTATTTAATAATTTCAAAAAACTAATTTAAAAACGTATCCACCCCCAAAGTAGGAGTTTTGAACGTCGAATTTGCGCTCAAACTCAGGATTTACATATCCTTAAAAAGTTTAACATGTCTGATATAAATACGAAAGAAGTTTTCCACAACACTGCATACTCAGTTCAACTACCTTACATAGCCGGTCACTCCCTTTAATCTAATTAATAATGTAGAAGATATCGTTGTTTGGAAGTGATTATATCGGAAAATTCACTTAATTTTTCGCTAATTACTCTTTAGAGAAACCAAAATTGAAAATAATTAAATTACTGTAAGAGAAACATGGAAACTTACTTATACAGTCTCATTATGTGAAGAATATTTTAAGAAAGCAGGGAAGTGAAGATTTTTTTACTTTTAGAAGGAGAGAGTTGCTAAAACAACACTATGAGAGAAACCATACTGATACTCCAAAGGAATTAAAATTATTTAATTTTACATATTTTTTAAAGTTTTTGTTTTAAATCTGATCAGCAAAATTTGAATCATACTCGTGTTATAATAATTTTAAAATTTTACAGTTTTCATGTGAGTTCTGTGGTCAGAGATTTGGAAGAAAATATCACTTGAAACGTCACATGTAATTAATTTAACATATATCATCATTGATTACTTATTAACATTAGATTTTACATTGTAAATTGTCCATATTGGAGAAACAAGGTTATCACTCTTGCAGATAGAAAACTATGGGTTGTAAATGAATTTCCTTGAAGATTGGTGGTATTGATAAAAAATTAAAAAATACGCCTTGTTGCTGTACATTTTGGTTTCTATACGTTCTGTTGCTGTAATGTTTGACTCTGATTTTATCATATTTTTTATACAAATAGAACCATTCATTCTGGCGAGGGATTCCCTTGTGATCTATGCAGTAGGGTTCTGAAGAGGGAGGATAGTCTAAAACTGCACAGAAAGTCTCATAGGTAAATGTGTGATTTCAAAGGGAGTTGCATATTCTATTCACAATAGTACCCTTAACACCTTTATCTTAGTAACAATGAGAATGATTTTCACGTTTATCTGTCTTTTTTATTGTTGAATTCTGAAAAACCACATTTTAAAAATGTAAATTTCCAGTTTTGTTCATGTCAATATTCGTATAGGTTTTGTCAATAGTTTGGCATGCCACTCCGTGTAAATGGAGGTTCACTTGTAAATACATAAACAGTCCCTTTATAATGTTTTTTTAATCAGTACCAAAGTGGGTTTGGAAGATGAAGACTCGCTTCCTGGTTTAGATTATTTAGAGGAGGTGCAGGGCAAAACAGAGGAGGTACAACAAGTTTCATTTAGCCACTTTAAAACAAGACCATTTTTAAAATATTATTTTATTTTCGTTTTCTCTAATTTAAGTTAATTTTATTTTGTATACTTATTTTATTTTTAATATTTTAGATCTCTTCAAAACATTCTAAAAATAAGTGTGATCTTGAATCAAAGAGCCTGAATCAGTCAATCCATGTACTTGAAACCTTGAATTTTCCTCAGAATCTACAGCCTCAAGTAATGACTCTATCTGACGCACCGAAGGCTTCAGATGCTGATCAAGCACTGCAAAACCATTTGGAACCCCTTGACGCCTTTATTCTTGAGAGACAGTCTTTTCTCAACAGAAATATTGATCCAAGTAAACTAGGAGTGTTAGAAGTTCCAGTAAAAAATACTAATGTTTTAAATGATGATCTTCAGATGCCTAATCAAAGGCAGATAAACTTGCTTGATCAAATAAATGATCATCAACCCGTGTTCCCTCATCAAGGAGAATCTTCAACACCATATCACAACACGGTGAAGAGGCCGATACCAAGAAGATTTCCTATTTCCACATTTTTACCCTTTGAAGGTTCAAATGTTGAATCTGTTTCAACGGTGGCTCAAGACGTTCCATTCCCAGAAATAGGAATTATTGAAGAACCATGTAAGAATATCACAGAGGCTTTATTCCCGGTGGAACATGACATCAGTATTCTTCAAGAGGAACAGGAGAGACTTGAAGCAAGGACCCCTTTTCTGGAGGAACTTTCCAGGTAGAGAATTGTCTTAAATTAATAAATTTTAATAGTGGGTTACCCACAAATTATAAGACTTCAGAGACGACTGAAGGGAATTTATACTTTCAATTTCTTTATATATTTATGATTCCTTCCAACTATAAACTTTTTTCATTTTTTTACTAAATCATGTATTTATTAGACATCACAACTTTCAACAAAATTTTAGTTTAATTTTTCTTTTCAAGGTCAGTAAGTCCTCTGAGTAATGCTGATGTAAACAGAGTGCTTTGTCTGCCACCTCAGGTCACTTATAATTATATTTTTTATTAGATAATAAATAATTTAATTTGCATCTTACTGTAACCACTATCTTTGTTTGTTATAACTTTCACTGCTTTATTCTATCAAGTTTAAAAAAGAGGATTAGATTTTAGAAAGTAAATGTTAGTTTATTGAGACCAGTTTTCCTTGTACGGTGAGAACCATACAACTCTGGAATAGGAAGACGACTTATAATTTATGACTGTAAATAATTGACTGAACATCAGGCATAGCAATTGTTGCTTTAATGACGTCTTTCTATTTCTCAGTTTTCTGGTTCTTACTGTAGTTGAGTTTTTTTTTACAGCGCACAATAAAAATCCAATGCATGTATTTGCAGGACCAGATCTCTGATAATATTCCTATTCTTGAGCCACACATGTCTACTCCTATCAATAGGTAATTTCTTTAACGTTCCTCATTTTCTAAAATTTTACGTTGGCCATGAAACATTCCTGACCCAAATTGGTCTAAAGAATGTGGAGTAGGATTTCCGGTGAAAGAAAACTTTCGCAAAAAAATGAGAAATTTCGTGAAAAAATTTCTTTCATATTTCGCCAACTTTTTCTTTTTTTGCGAAATTTTCGGCAAAACAAAACTTTTCGCCAAACGATTTTTTCATCTAATATGGAGGCAAAAATATTTTTTACAAGTAATTTAAACGTAAAATTCATTCATTTATTAAAAAATGTAGATAAAATCTCATATTCAATCTTTGCTCCATTATAGGTCATCAGATCATATTGAGCTTACTATTGCAAACAGTATCCAACCCAGGCGATCAGTTATCATGATGAATAAGAAAAAAGGAGATATATTTTAAATGCAGAAATTATAAAATCAAATTTTAATAGCAAAAATTATAAAATCATATTGTAAATGTAAATACAGAAATTAAAAAATCATATTGTAAATGTAAATACAGAAATTATAAAATCATATTGAAAATGTAAATACAGAAATTATAAAATCATATTGAAAATGTAAATACAGAAATTATAAAATCATATTATATTATTATTTCAGTGTAGTTGGCGATAAAAATATTCAGGGATTTGAATCTGCAAAATATTATTTGAAAGCTAATAGAATTTAGTACTTCTTAAATACAGTGGTAGGCGATTATATCAATATAATGAAGAAAATTACCAAGCAGGCATAATCTCAGGAATTTCCCGGAAATGTCTCCTCTTTTTTTTACTGGAGACTTTATATGAGTATAGACAGGAGTATTAGTACATAGAATATTGGATGGAGTACAGTACGTGCAGTGGGCGATTATATTGATACAATGAAGACGATTTTAGACTTCAATTTTGATTTATATCAAGCATGGATACGCTAAACATAGATGTCAAGATAAACTGTAAATTAAAAAAGGTTCTCTTTGATTACTTGTAAACTTATAATTCAAAAAAAGCTTGCTAACAATCAAAACTTAAATTAAAAAGTTGTCTTCGTTGTATTGATATAATCGTCTACCACACCACTGTATTAGCAGAATATTGGATGATATACATATATGCAGAATATTGGAAACTTCATTAGAATATAATTATAATATAATTTTAGAGGGATTAAGCTTATAATAAAGAATTTATTATACCGAATATTGGCCAGGATTTCTTGAAGGGAACGTTAGTAGAATATTGGTGGTGATATTAGTAGAATATTGGAGAGGATAATAGTATAATATTGGAGGGGATAGTAGAATATTAGAAGGGATAATAATAGAATATTGGAAGGGATATAAGAAGAATATTGGAAGGGATAATAGTAGAATATTGGAGGGGATAATAGTAGAATATTGGAGGGGATAATAGAAGAATATTGGAGGGGATAATCGTAGAATATTGGGGGGATAATAGTAGAATATTGGAGGGGATATTAGTAGAATATTGGAGGGAATCTATTATTAGAATATCGGAGGAGAGAATAGTAGGGGATATTAGTAGAATATTGGAGGGGATAGTAGTAGAATATTGGAGTCCGGATAATAGTAGAATATCGGAGGGAATTAGTAGAATATTGGAGGGGATACTAGAAGAATATTGGAGCGGGTCTATTAGTTGAATATAGGAGGGGATAATAATAGAATATTGGAGGGGATAGTAGTAAATATTGGAGGAGATGGAATTGGAGGGGATATTAGTGGATTTTTTTTTGGGATTTTAGTGGAATATTGGAGGGGATATCATATTAGTAGAATTGGAGGAGTTATTAGTGAAATATTGGTGCTATCTCATTTGAACTACTGCCGTTTGAACTATTGTTCATTTGAACTATTGTTCATTTCAACTACTGCACGTGGGACCACGTGAGTAGTTGAAATGAACAATAGTTCAAACGAGTAAATATATTGCTCATTTGAACTATTTTTTAGTTCATTAAACTATTTTCATTTGAACTATTAAAATATTATTAATGAAATAAACAAAAAATAGTTCAAATGAACATNAGATCTTGCCCCCCCCCCCTCGCTAAATCTTATATCTTGTATTGGTCACTGAAACTGTAATTTCGGACACAAATATCACATAAAACTATCTCCACTCTATCCACATGGTTGCCAATGGCACGTGTTGGTGGAGGTGGATTGTAATGTATGCAGCTATGGATCAGCTGAAGGAGCTGAAGTGAATAGAGGGCCCGCAGGTCCCGCAGGCCCGTGGGAGGAGACAGTCAAAGGGGCCGGGCAATATCACGTTGAGAGTAAGAGTAAATCACATTTGAACTATTTAAGTGTTTTAACTAATATTTTATTTGAAATTTAACTATTTTTTTCTCATTTAAACTATTTCATTTGTACTATTTTTTTTTTCATTTGAACTAATGTTTTTGTTCATTTAAACTATTTTTTTGTCCTTTTGAACTATTATTTTGTTCATTTTAACTATTTTTTTTTGTTCATTTGAGCTATTTTCATGTTCATTTGAACTATTTTTATGTTTATTTGAACTATTTTTTTTTCATTTGAAGTATTTTTTTTTCATTTGAACTATTTCATTTGAACTATTTTCATGTTCATTTGAACTATTTTTATGTTAATTTGAACTATTTCATTTGAACTATTTTTATGTTCATTTGAACTATTTTCATGTTCATTTGAACTATTTTTATGTTCATTCTGTGTAATGTTTATCTAATTAATTGTCATGAATATAACTTTATGGAGAAAATTTTAAAACTGAATTGGGGTAGAAAAATTAGTTCAAATGAGCAAGAAATGCGTTGATTTAAACTACAGGATATGACGTCATGTCAGTAGTTCAAATGAACAATAGTTCAAACGAACAATAGTTCAAACGTACCATAGTTCAAACGGCAGTAGTTCAAATGCGGATCCACCGAAATATTTGAGAGGATATAGAATAAAACTTAAGTTTTATGAAGACAAAAAAATAGTTTTAAATTTATATGTTGTGTAATAAACAAGAACAATGTTTATTGTATAATTCTTTAAATAAATATCTTCATTATTCACCGCACGTAATGACTATTATAATCATCAATTCCATCAACACTCGTAATATATCCGTATGAAGGGGCCGCTGCGGAACAGTATTATTCCACCAATCAGAGTCAAGCTTGATTTGTTCCCACCAATAGAAATCCAGGAATAGAAGTCTGTAGAATTCTATGGAAAGAATGATGAACCAATCAGCGCCGCATGGAACCGGGTTGTGTAAAACGATGGAAAGTACAAGTTTTGCCAGAAAATTCGAGAAAAACGACGAAAGAATTAGTTTTCCGTTAACGTCAGTTTCAAATCAGAACACCAGAACTGGTTTGAAGTGAACTAATAGTAAACAAATGCAATTCAGTCAATATTGTTTAATTTGCAATTAAACTACTCTTTTCAGAGCAAAAACAAGTGAAAAGTAAAAATGTCTGTTGTAGGAATAGATTTTGGAAATGATACATGCTATATATCTGTAGCAAGGTTAGTACTCAATCAAATTTGGATTTTATTTAAAGAAAATCATGGTATACCCGTCCTCATACAATTTACCCCCCCCCCCCCCCTCGCCCTAATGTCAGATTTTTTTCTTCAAATTTCTTCAATATTAAACTACAGATGCTATTTCAATTTAATATTTTCACATTTATTCATTTCGAGAGGGATATTCAACTCGAAAGAACAACTATGATTTAATTCTATTGGACCCCCACCGCCCCCCCCCCCTTCTATCAATTTTGTACATGGATCTCACATGCAACACAGGGATATAATTGGCCATGTGGCCCGGCCCTTGTCTGTCCTAGCCGCGGCACTCGGCCCCCAGTCTGTCTGTCCTAGCCGCGGCGCTCGGCCCCTAGCCTGTCCTTGCCGTAGCGCGCGGCCACCTAAGCCTGTCCTTGCCGCAGCGCTTGGCTCAGAAATTATCTTAGCCTAATTATAACCCGAAAATAATAAAAAATAAAAGAATAATTTTGCTGTAAATTAGTGAACATGTAAAAATTGAAATGAGTGGGGAGATCCAAAAATTCTTAATAGGACGGGCCCATCAATTTTGTACATGCCTCTATATATGTAACACATCGGCATAGTTAACATGCGGCACCCTAGTCCGTCTTAGTCGTAGCGCCTAGCCAAGAAATTGGCCTTTTTCCCCTGAGATAAAACAAGCTAGATATATTTCCAATTCAAAATTTATGGGAAAGGAGAGGGGGGGGGGGGGGCGAAAAAAGTTGACAAGTATCAAGCCACTAACTTAATATTTAGGCAAGGAGGTATCGAATCTATCGCCAACGACTATTCTCTTCGAGCCACGCCCAGTTATGTCGCTTTCGGCGAGAAACAGAGAACAATGGGCGTGGCTGCCAAGTCCGGACAAATGACTAATGTCCCAAAAACCTTCTTTGGATTCAAACGTCTGCTCGGCCGGAAGTTCGACGATCCTCAAGTCCAAGATGAACTTACCAGGTTTATATCCGGCTTATTATTATTCTACAGTAATAATGGAAGACATTAACATTACTTAGCATGAAACATATTTGTTAGGGTAAATTTTTCAATAATCATGGAAGACCTTTCTATATGAAAGGAACAAATGAAGATGGATGAGAATAAGAAAACGAAGATTGACTCCTACAATTTTATCATCTTCTTTTAATTAACTGTATGAGCCGTCCACATTTTACTATTTACTTTATAAGTAATACAAATTTTACAATTAACTTCATAATAAATTAAAATGTTAGTATTACAACTTTTTATGTAATAAAAATGAACTATGTTACAACGAACAGAAATTGTGTTTGGCAAACCCTGTAACTCATGAAATGCCATATCAATCGAAAAGAGTATTATTAGTAAATTTCAAACTTAAATAATGTATAGTCTTCAAATTAACATTACAAGATCATGTTGTTCAAATAAATTTAAACAAACAAGAAGACTTTTCGTCCTAAAATAGAACATGCATGGCTCTATGTTTTCTGGCAAAGAAACTTTAACAATAGAAACTTTTTTATGTAGGTCGTAACTATGATATTTATAATATTTTATTAGGTTACCATTTGAAGTTCAAAAGAATGAGGATGGAAATTGCGTTATTTCGGTGGACTTCTTGGGACAGAAGAAACAGCTGTCTCCAGAACAGCTGACAGCGGCACTTTTTACTAAACTCAAGCTAACAGCAGAAACAGCCCTCTCAGCTGTGGTGAGTCAAAAGATGATCAATGCTTGATCCTCTCTTTTTCTTAATCTCGAGACTAACCTTGTACTGTATCTTGAAAAGTGTATAAAATTCAACCAATCAGAGTCGCGTATCAGAAGCCGGGAAATTAAAAATTTTGCGCGCCATTTAATCATAAACAGAAAAGGCAGGGACTATCTTAATTTTGATAAATCTGTTTCTTATTTGTCTGAGCTAAATCCAAAAAGCGTGGAATAAGCAAGATATTAAAAGTGTCCACATTGGAAATTCGATCAAGCAGTCGGGATTAAAGATTTCCAATTCTAAAGTTCCCAGCTCAGAAAATTAAGAGTAAAAAATCATCATCAATCACCATTACTCCGACTGAAAGATAACCCTTATAACAGATTATCTTAACTGTCAAAAAGTGAATTATATGTATAAATTATGAAGGTGAATGATGTTGTAATCTCTGTTCCATCTTACTTCACTGACGCGGAAAGACGAGCACTGTTAGACTCTGCTAGGTAAGTTTTAAAATCCAGTTTATTCTGATTGAGAAACCTAAGTTTTTAAATTTGCAACTTTGCAATTAAAAGAATTATATGGAAAACGGGGACGGAATGACTTATTATGATATCTACTTAGCCTCAGTGCCTAGGATCTTATTATTGTTGATACTTTTTACAAATAAAAAAGTGTAATTATAAAAGAAATTCGTTGCTTTTTTATTCTTTCAGAAAATCGGAAATAATATGTTCATTCTCAATCTTTAATAGCTGAAAGTGTAATGATAGCAAAACCTAGGTATCTTATTTTGCTTGGATCCGGATCCAGGATGCCAAAATAGTGCCAATCCAACGTGATATTCTTGAGTGTATAAATGACACAAAGAAATGATTTAGGATTGCTGGTCTGAATGTACTGAAACTAATGAATGAAACCACGGCTACTGCACTGGCCTACGGGATTTACAAACAGGATCTACCCGAGTCGGACAAACCGGCCAGAAATGTCGTCTTCGTTGACGTTGGTAAGTAGTCATTAGATCTCAGAGGTGTTTATTATCCAGAACAGGATATGAC